AAAAAAAAAAAAAAAAAAAAAAAAAAAAAAAAAAAAAAAAAAAAGAATTAGAGAAGTAACTCAGCAGCTAAGAGTACTTATCCTTGCTGAAGATCTCTTTTCAGTTCCCAGCACCCACATGGTGACTCATAACCATCCATAACTCCAGTTCCCAAAGATCCAATGTCTTCTTCTTACTCTGAGGGTACCAGATATGCATGTGGTACAAATACATGCATGCAAGTCAAACACTCTTAAGATAAAATAAATCTATTTTTAAATAAATAAAAAGAATAAACATATAGGTGCAATTCATCATAGTATTAGACTAAAACAAAAACAAACCTGTATTGCCATCTTAAGAGATGCAGAAAAGTCATCTCATAAAATAGAAGATCCAGGACCAATCAAAAAAACAAAAAAAGATTCAGGAGCTTAGGAAGAGAGAACTTCCCCTACCCGATAAAGTCTACAAAGATATAGGCAAAACACTCATACATATAAAATAGATAATTCTAAAAATAAATTTAAAAAGTATTTGTCAATTGAGTTGGAAGACTAAGGGCTAACATAAAATTTGTAATTGTAAGCAATAGCACCATCTACTCTGAAATAGTTTACAAATATTTTATTTTTCATAATACCTCTATGAAGAAAGATTATAGACCTTATCAGAATTATGAGGGGGAAATACCCCCCCCACACACACACCACAAGAAGAAGTAACTTAGCACAGCTGAATTCAGAATCACGCTGTCTAACTCAAATTCTCATGCCCTGTCCTTCCACTGGCTTGTTGAGAAGGTCATTGTGCTGTTGCTGAGGCTGACATACTGGCATCCCATAATTAACTGGACTTCTTCAGCCAAGGGTTCAAGTCCTGTTAGAGGGTCAATGGAGATGTCTGAGTCTTGACTTCACAGAGATATGTGTATCCTTTATGTCAGTGTGATGACATCTGTATTGATTTACATCATGGCATTAGCTGGTGTTAGTAATAAATTACGACACAGGGGCAATACTGTCAAGCGAAAATCATCTAAATTTCCAGATTTTTAAAAACATACAACCATTTCAATATCTTCTCCTCCTTTTCTTTCTCCTTCACTCTTCCTTTATTCCAAATAAAAATCTTCAAATGATTAACTTAGAGAAATAATTGACTCATGCATAAAGTTTGAAGATTTTAAAATCTCAAGGACCGAAGAGTTTGCTGGCAGCCTCTAAGAGAAATGTAGGGAAAGATCCAGGGTCTATGTGAGTTCATTTCACATGGTAGCGGCCTGGTAAATGTTTGTTGAATTAACCAATTATTCAAATCAACAAATATTTGCCGAACTAAATTCCGTGGAGGCTGCAGGAAGAAAAGGTCTTGTCCCCAAGCCTCAATGACCTCACTGAGGAAAATCAGCATGGACACCTGAACACTGAAAGCTGACTGTGTAAGATTTCGGGGCAAATAATTGTCCATTTAGTGGACGGGTAATAGAACATAAAGATTTTTATAGCAGAATATAGACATTCAGTCAGAGCTGATCAAGTAAAGGGTTTGTGGAGAAGAGGACCTCAGTCGAGCCTTGAAGAATGGCTCAGCTTTAGATGGATGAACAAGGTCTAAGGGAGGGCTCCTCTCAGCAACTCGGAACAGAAAAACACAAAAGCTATCTGAGAGGCCACTTGTTCATTCAAGACAGGGAATGTTCGGGATGAAATTGCTTATGCCAGAGCAATCACTGACCTTTAGGTACAGATATCAAAGAAGCAAAATGGAGGGCTGGAGACTTAGCTTTCATTGGTGGTGGGCTTGCAGAACAGGTCCCCGGGTCCAACCCCAGCACTGCAAACAAAAGAAAATCAAAACTCCTTAAGTATTCTCCAATGCTTTGGAGACTAAAAAGCAATAAATTAGTAAAAATCCAAGTTAGAAATAAGATCATTGTCTTTTTACAATTTTCTTCTAATAACTTAGTAAAATTTCATTCTACAGAATGTCATTGGAAGTCTGACGAGATGGCTCAGTGGGAAAACGTGGCTGTCTCCAACTCTGATGACCTGAGTTTTATACTCAGGATCCATATTGTAGAGGCAAGAACCAGCTCCCTCAAGTAGTCCTCTGATGACAAGCACACACTGTGACATGAAGGTGCCCCCATAGTTATGGACACACACACACACACACACACACACACAAATGTAATCATTTTTAAAGAAATGCATTTTTAAAAGATAATTATCATTTGTATGAGTAGTTATGTTTTCCTAGAGTTTTGTCTATGATTGAAAATTTAAAGTATAGCCCCAAACACTGTTCATGAGTTAAAATTAAATTGTTTAGATTATCAACAAATACCTTTTCCTTCGTGACTGTGACTAGTCAGTATGACGCATTGAAATCAGAACTCCTTGTGTGTCTTTGTGTCTAAGGCCATCTTATGCCTTTCACTTGTTATGGTTTTAGTTGAGATTATGTAGTATGGGGATAATTGCTTTCTGCTTGCTTCTCTGTCTTTCAATAGCTGTGTATCAGTTAGTGATCTGTTTCCTTCAAGTCACTCACAGACCACTTTGTTTTCTGATGTCTGTAAAGAGCTTTAGCACCAAGCACTCTACCCAGGACATGGCCCTTGAATTTTCTGCAAGTTGCTTAGCTGTAGTTAAATGACAACAAACAGTAATGCCTTTTCCTAGACGTTGACTGCTTTGTTTTAAAAACCCACTTTTCTGCCACAGAAGTGAGACTGACATGGAGGCTTTCTAGTTTCCGAGGGAGGCTGATAGAAGGAAACGACAACAGGTCTATGACTGGAGAAAACTTGTCGTCATCCTTCCAGAGCTGGAGGCATGTGCCAAGAAAGCATGCTAAGAATAGAAGAAAGTGTTTGTTTGTGGCTGTTTAATGTAGCTGTGAGAGGCAGCTGCAGATCTTCCTGTGGAAACAGTCCCACACCCTGTTCACCCCAAGAATTCTTTTCTTCCAACTAAGAACAAATTCCTCCCAACCCGGAAGTTCATGGGATCATGGAAACTCTGAGATCCTTTAGGAGAATCTACCCAACATGTCTTGTCTCCTACCAAGTACTCACACCCACACAAGATACTTGCCATTTAGCTGTGAGTGAAAGATCCGGTCAAAATAGAACTCTATGTCTTGGGAAGGGGCTCGGGGAGAGCTGGGATAGCCAGCTCTTCTTTCTCTGGAAAGATGTCTGCTCCTCTTTCAAAACCAGTTCAAAGCCTCCTCATCTATCAAGGCTTTCCCAATTCTCTGAGGCAGCACGATGTCCTGACCTCATGTTTTCCTGGAGACCTCAGCCAGTACTCTTACCACAGTGCTTTCTGCGTGTGTTACAGAATACTGGTGTGTTACAGTAGTCTGTTACAAGTCCTCCCTAATTTTATAGATCTATCAACTGTCCCGGTACTTGCCACTTAGATCAATTAACAACTGCTGATTGGGTGACCGACCAGAACTTCCCCTGCAGCCCACCTTAACTCCAATATGTCAGCCACACATTCTCAGACTGGATTCACATCTAAGTTGAAATAATTACTTAAAAAATAATCTTAAGCCCCATATCTTTTAGAAAGTAAACTAAATTAGGATGGGTGTTTGTTTTTAAAAGCCTTTAATTTGTGTGTTGAGTAAATTGTTAACTACAACCTACTATGAATCAAATTCAAAGTGGAGAAGGTCATTCAGCATTCAGCTCAGAGAAATGTAATCTCTGGATTAAGTTAAAGTTAAAAAAGGAAAAATTGAGCCGGCCTGTCGGTCTCTATTTTGTATGAAGTTTCTTTGTCCTTCATTAGCTGGGTATGATTCAGCTTGACAAATTCTTTTTGCACTTTATGCTTCTCTTATCCTCATGTGACACTGTACACCAACATCTGAGGCAGTAGCTTAATTAGTAGTCACCCTGAAAGCAGAATGTACCCACTTCAATCCCCAGAACCCACATTTTAAAACCTAGGTGCACAAACTCCTATAATCCTAATCCCGGGGAGGCAGAGCAGATCCTCTGGCCTCTACAAGGATGTGCAAGTCCGTCTGCGCCCACATATACACCCACGAGTGCCCTCACAGAGATGGGGGAATCCCACAGTAAGTATTTTAGGGACTATGCAGAATAGAACCTGAGATTATATGCTAACCCCGCCCCCCATCCCCCTACCTCACTAAGGTACAGCAAGTACAAGATGTCAAATTCTTTGAATTTAATTTTTATAACATTAGGTCTATCCACGTGTTTCAGTCCAGTGGCAAGTTTGGAATTATTTACTCGGGGGAACTCTTGACGACATTCCTGATAAATCACCCCAGCTGTGACGTGAGGCCCTGGACCTGGCTTCCTGTTTGTTCTATCCACTATCTTCTCTGTCTGTTTAAAATGAGGCAAGCTATGGCAGACATCCATCCTCTATGAAATAACCACTAACCTGTCAGAGAGCGGAGTTCAGTAGAAAGGTTGGATAGATTTTTGGGTAAAACCCAAACCCTCATAAAACTTGGTATGAGCAAATTGTAGGCATTCAGGAAACCAAAAATAAATGTAGTGAACTTGCAAAAGCTCAGGACTCAGAGAAGTCTGTCCTTGAAGCTTCTGGTGTAAGTATCAAGTTTCCCTATAAACTTTAATACTAATATTTGCAATTCTTTCTTACAGTAAATAGTTGTTCCCTGGGGAAAAAAGCACAGAAGACATAAATGTTTTTTTTTTTAATTTATGTTTTCCTCCATTAATTCAGAGAGTATATTCAATTGTTAGACATACATAAAAATGTCTTTAAAATCTGTTTTCTTATTTCCTATAGAAGTAAGGCCTATTGTCCTATGTAGAGTGCTACTGCCTTTTATTTGTTTGTTTCCCCAGAAACACAAAAAGAGCATATAAACATTTGACTATCTGAGCCCATAGACACACCAGACATTCTTTTGGTCTGCCTTATAATTTCTTTAAAAATGGGTTTATTTTAGTTTGAAGATTTTCACTTGTTTGTTTGCTTGTTTGGGTGCTGGGGATTGCCTTCAGGGTCTAATGCACACTAAGCACTTGCTCTACATGGTACTATAAAACTATACTGTACTACCAGCACCTGAACATGTATGTGAATACATGTATTTAAATTTACATGTACACATTTCTTAGAAAACATAGAAGAAAATCTAGAAAACTTTCTTAAACTTATATGCTAAGCAAATTAGCAAAAAAAAAAAGTTCTTAGTAACTACTTGGAGCCTATGAAGAGAATTATTTGAGAATATTGTAGGATAGGCTAGAGAGATGGCCTAACAGGTAAGAGCACTGGCTGTTCTTCCAAAGGATCTGGGTTCAATTTCCAGCATCCACATGGGGGCTTACATCTGTCCATAAATCCAGTACCAGGGATCTGACACTATCTTCTGGCCTTTGTAGGCAGCAGACACACATGTGGTATACAGACATATATGCAAACAAAACACTCATAAATATAAAATATAATAATAATATAGAAAATATGCTTTTCCATACCACATCTCAGCCATATCTACCTATGCATTTCACATGGATGTTGAAGCCTAGACATGCCAGAAAAAAAAAAAAAAAAATATATATATATATATATATATATATATATATATATATATATATATATTCTTTGGATAGGGCAGAAAGTAACTGAAAATTCTCAGGAGATCCTTTTTTTAAGGATTTATTTTTATTTTCAATTTCATATATATATTACACTTGAGTACAGTATCCATGGAGGACAGAAGATGGTGTCAGATTCCCTGGTGCCAGAGTGACAGGTGGTTGTAAGCTACCCAACATGGGCGCTAAAAAACTGAACCTAGATCCTCCCCAAGAGTAGCATGTGCTCTTGACCACTGAGCCATCTCTACAGGCTCTGGAGACCATTTATTGCAACCTCATCAGGTCAATTTGGTGGACTCCCATTGTTTGTGAGCATGTTACAAACTGAATTTTATCTGAGCCAGAGCCATGACACCAAGCATGGATACACCATAATGTCACCCTCTGCATCCTCTGAGATCTGAAATGGCCTAAAACTCAAAATGGAAAACAAAACAACAACAAGCCTTCCCAGTACACTCCCAAGCATTCTCATCCATCCTCTAGCTCCCTCTTTAAAGCAACAAGATAGGCAACAGGTTCCTAAAACTTCCACCATGCAAGCCCTAGTTTTAAAAGATAATGTCAGAGTTTTGTTTTACTTTCTTTCCAGGATGTACACAAGGCGTGACATGGATACCAGGAGCCAGGCTCCCTCTCCAGTCCTTCTGGGTCCACAACTTCCTGGTGTTCCTTTTCCTTAGCCCAAAGGGCCGCAATGTCATGCAGCATTTCAGTGTTCCCCGTGACATCCAAGATAGAAAGGGGCACCCCTGTATGCTTCGGTTAAGAGATAAGGTTTATTTGCAAGATGAGGTTTCTCGGTAGACAGGAATACAACACAAGGCAGACACAGGACAGGTAAACAAGGCTGTGAAACAAAATGGCGTTTGACAAGTGGCATAAGCTGATCACCCTTCTCTGATGATGGCGCACTGCAGCGGGATGTAGCCTAAACTTCCTCTCCTTCCATGGAGTTAGCCCCTGCAGTGATGTATTCCTACCATTGCCGGAGCGGATCGCTTTACTGTGTGTATAACCTTGGCTGTCTAGGGTCAGGTGATTCTGTTCCAAGAGAAAGTCACTTTAAGCAGTGTTTGTTTTCCCTCATTGATCTCCGTACCCAAGGCCACTGGAAGTGCGTCAAGTGACAAAGCCTTTCAGGACACCTGTGTCACAAGATGTTGGACACTTTCAGTCGATAATGATTATTCAAGTCTCGTTGAGTTGTGTGGAAAGCCAGCGTGCCTCACCAATCTGGTGTTCAGGGGGGAAGATTCTAGGGGAAAGGAGGTTGCTCTATAAAATGAAATTTTTGTTGTGTATTATAGAAGATTGTACATCTTGTTAATAACATTCAATGGCATGCAGTCGTTTACTTTCAGATAGAATTATTGTCTAATTATCATGAGCACATATCAATCTCTGATCTTATCCAATGATAACATGATTTATTCTAGGTTCATTGGTGGTTTTTGTCTCTTCACCAGAGATCCCCCCCAATGAGTTTTTTTCACCCCTTGAAAAGCTGTTTTAAATCACTGAAGAATCTCCCACTGTGCTATTTTGATTTTACTTATAAGAATAAAATCTAATCCCTTTAGTGAGTGAAGTGTCCTACTTCCCAGGCACATGAATACAGCATCTGAGCTATGGGGAGGGCGAATCATTTTATTACTAGCAGAGATTGAAGGAGACTCCCGTACAGCAGGGACTCCTTCCTAGACCCTGGATTAGGCACAGACAGCACCCGAATAACCATTTTCACAGAGCAACCCTTTATTAAGCAGGAAAGAAAAGTTAAAGTGGCTGCTTTCTGACTCAGGCAGAAAAACAGCGGCGCATGACATTGCAGGTGGAATGTTCAAAAGGAGAAAAAGTCTGTGTTGGGATGGGCTAGGTTGCTGTGGTAAAGGAGGTAGAGGATGAAGAAGAAGAGGAAGAGGACAAGGAAAAGGGGTAAGAGGTATTTGTCCCTGGGGGACCAAAGGACTGCCTCTGGATAGAGGGGCGACAGGCAGGGAGACAGATGTGACCCGTAGGCAGATGACAGTTTATAAAGGTAGAAGGAGAAATGCCGCATTAGGATGAGGTGTTTAATTTTAATTGGACATATTAATTAGGTGAGCCAAAGGGGGCTTTTTGTTGCTGGATTTCAATAGTTTGATAGTGGGACTTTGGTAGTCAGCCCCAGGTGGAGGAAGTAGCGAAATAAGGGAATAGCCTCGGTGGCTAGCTTTAGGAATGTAATCTAACGGTTTTTAGCAAGGAAGAGGGAATGGGAGAGAAGGACAAGGCCTGCCAGAGCCACATGCTCCAGTGGGCTGGCATCCCTTCAGAGACATCAACCAATCATATGAAGAAGGAATCTGAAAAACAGGGAGGTCATCTCTCACTGTTAGTTGAAGCCAGTGGACTTGCAAGTCTGTCTGACTAATCCTTATTTGAGGAAGCAGAAATGAAGGGGAGAAATTTCAGATATCAATTTGAAAGAAAATTATAACATGAATGATTCTCCTAAGAAAGGCAAAAAAAAAAATGCTGCTTAAATCCCAATGGGCAAATCTGAAGTTTAGTAAATTTTGCAGCGTTATCTCAATTTTGCTACTTTTTCATCTCTTTCTTCTGCAGGCTCTCAGAGACCTCCTTGTGAAATGTTTTAGACTAAGACAAGCCCAACAACACCCATCTGAGAGAACTGAATAAAGAAGAAAAAAACAATGAAAACAAATCTGTTCTCCAAATGCCAAACTTACGTAGCCTGAATGGCGCTACATCAGTGGTGGGTATCAGTAAGGATTTGTTTGCCCCACAGGAACAAGCCAGCGTGTCCTAAGGCATGTCCCTGCACTGAGGTTGGATGAGGCTAAACACTCTGGGTGGAGAGTGGCCAATCTGGTGGTGAGATCAGGGAGGTGGGGAGGAAGGACTACAGAGAATCAATGATGGTAAATCAGTGTAGCCGGGAGAGGACAAAACATCGGTTGGGTTCAGAGACTTTAAAAAAAATCTACAGAGAATGGAAACAAACATTGAAGTGAGGTGCAGTACAACCAGAATGAGGAGTAACATTCATCAAAGGAAGCAAACTAAGAGGAAATGAAGGGAGAGACAACCTAGGTTCAGTTGGAGCTGTGTAGCAGGGTTCCAGAGGTGACAGTTACAGTCAAGGTGTGCAGTACTCATTTATAAATAGACACCAGGGACAATGGTATTAAGCCTTGGTGGACCCAAGGGAGTGAAGAACTCTGGACCTTTTTTTTTCCCTGGTTGAACCATTAAGGTGGACTTATTGCCTCACGTGTGTAAGGTCCTGGATATAACCACCAGCGTCACAGCCAACAGTCATAAAATAAATCCAATAAAACTAATCCGCAGGCCCTGTTTCAATAAATCTGTGTGGATAGTCCAGGACTCTGCACAGATAAGTGGCATTCGAAGCCTTTCTGCCCAGAGCCAAACACTAGACCTTCTATAGCCACCTAGAAAAGGGCACTCATGTGTAGGTCAGTCTGAGACTCTCTCCTGCTTCTTCCCCCCAACATGGTTTTGCCAGTGAGTATTTCCAAGCTATCAAGGATAGTGGGATTTCAGTTCAGCCCCAACCAGGGTGGCTAGACAGAGCATGACGTACACAACCTTGTCTTTTAAAAGGTGATTCATGGACAACTTGGGAAAGCCCACTTTAATTCAATATTCTCCAAAATTCCCTAATGATATTAACCTGGTAGCCACACTAGCAGGAAATCCCCAGATAACAGCCTGAGATGATTGAATCAGACTCTCCAAAGACACAGACAGGGAATTCATATTCTCAGCTGGTGCCTCATGGATTCTTGTCCTCGGAAAAGCTTGGGAAATATTGACCCAAGGAATGACTAAGCTGTGGGTGACCTTTCAGCTTGGTGTGTTGTCCCTGGCTGGGAAATCTGAAGCATCTTTCTGTTCCAGATCTTACTTTCCAGGATGGAGCCAGAAGCCATAATACTGTGTACTAGAAGAGCCAGCTTGAAAGACGTTCATAACAATCAAATGCAGAAAGGCTTGCTCTTCCTGGTCTCTGTCCACCATTGTCGGGAGTCAGGGTCTGAACTGAAGTGCGAACTTGAGAGCAAGCCTACTATTCCACAAAGCATTATCTCTAACCTGGGAATTCACTCGCTTCCTACAAAGTACCACAGATGTCATGGAGGATGCTACTTGATGGCTCATTCACAGGCTCATGCATATACGTGTGTGTGTGTGTGTGTGTGTGTGTGTGTGTGTGTGTGTGTGTGTGTGTGTGTGTGTGTGTGTAATGCTTTCCAAAAGAATGTTGCTGCCCACCATGGGCTGGGTTCTCCTACATCAATTAACACTCAAGAGAATCCCCCACAGCTCAGTCTGAGCAGAGAAGTCTCTCAGTTGAGATTCCCTTCATAGATGATTCTAGGCTGTGCTGAATTCATGGTTAAAACTAGGTGGAGAGAGATTATAATAACAAGTAACGATTATTAGTACCTAGTAACTAAGATGGAATAGTTATAATTAAAAATTATTTAACTTTTTGGGATGCTTATTTCTGGAATTTTCCATTACTGTTTTCCAACCTAGTTGGACTATGGATATCTGAAAATGCAGAAAACAAAATTACAAACTGTATGGCATTTATACTCACAATGCTTCTTTTCACTTGCCACACTGTGCAAGATGGTAGATAAAGGGAATTCAGTGTTTTCATGTGATCACACCTACATATTTTGAACACTCGAAATTGCTGAAAGTTTATTAGATAGTGATCTTATTTCTAAAATTCAAAGACAGAAGTCTCACTGTTTTACAAAGCAACTCATAAATATTTCTAAGAAAGAGCAAACAGGAGTCTATTAAAAGTATTAGAAGTGGATCTTTGATGTAGTGTTCTTACTGCTTCATTAACTTAAATATAACATCAGAAATATGAATAAAATATGTGCTCTAGAGTCTGGTAATTATCACATTATGATGATAAAAATCCTTACAATGTATAATGTTAGCAGACCAAAATGGCATAATATCTGGTATTAGGGATTGTGATAATAGTATCTTGTTGTTTTAAAACTTAGAAATAGCTGGGCAATGGTGGCAAATACCTTTAGTTCTAACACTCGGGAGGCAGAGGCTGCCAGAGTTAAAGGGCAGCCTGGTCTACAGAGTGAGTTCCAGGACAGCCAAGGCTACACAGAAAATTCATGTCTCTAAAAACCAAACTAAAACAAAAAACAAACAAAAACCCTTAGAAACAAATTCCTATTATGGTGATCCATGAAAACAAATTCTATTCCCAAAGGTATTTCAGCAAGAACAGTATAAATAATGGGCAAATGGTTGTAATAAGAACCAGGGTAACTTTTGGAGGTTCCTAACTGGGACATGTGACCAGCTAGGGCCCTTGATTACTTGATGGTCTAATGACCACTCATCCCCAAGGCTGTAGGATTTGGTTGACAGCCTCAGATCTCATGTTCTTCCAAAAGTCTTAAGAAAATTGATTCCTCATGAATGTAGATTATCAAATATACTTCTGAAGGCTAGGACTCATGCTGGGAATATTTGCCAGGAAGTGTTGAATGTGACTACACAACTTGAAATGATCATTCCAAGTCAACAGAGTACCTTGTGAACAACGAACCCCAACTTTGACAATTGTCTTATCAAAACAGAGAATGTAGCAAGGCTTAGCAGTACATGCCTATACCTGTGGCACTCAGGAGGTCACAGCAGGGGGATTGCCAAGAGTACTAGCCGAGAGCTATAGAGCAAGTCCAAGTCCAGCTTGAGCTAGAAGGAGAGATCCTTGTCTTGTAAAGAGGCAAAACTTTGAGTGACTAGAATGTTTATAGACTGTGGTTCCAGAAAGGCTGGAGACCACAGAAAAGCCAGTGGCTGTGGTTTTGAAGCTGTGGCACCAAAAGACTATTGACCACAATGGTCTGATTGCTCCAAAGGGTCTAAGAGGAAGGATAGAATAGCGTGGGGACTTTTTTCCCTACCTACAATCAGCCACGGTTTTATTTGCATTTATACCCATCTTTCTGAGAAATAAATTCTGCTGTGAAACACAGAAATCTGAAGTAGGAACTCAGCAGCATTGACAAAGCTGACCCATAAGAGCCAAGGGCTCTGGTGGAGGTTGAAGCCAAAATATCACAACCGTGTTTGGGTGTTATTGCCTTTTGAATGTATTAGCTGTTTCCTGCAGTGAATTTCTTGTGTGCTATTGTAGCCTTCTGAATTTATTCTTTTCCCAAGAACTTCTAACTGTGATTGATCAATTATTGGGCATAATTTCCCCTGTATGTTTGGGCATATGGATAATTTCCCTTTAGCTATGTGTGAAAACAGTCACACAAACAAAGACCCTACCACTTCCCAATAGTGCCTCTCTAGAATCCAATGCTTTCATCACAACACATCATTGGAAGACACAATACCTAGCAAATATTGGGTCTTTTGACACTGGTTAGTATCCATATGTAACTGTTCATATGTGCCTTGCAAAATCTGAAGCACACATCATCATTTTTAAAACATACAACCAAAATTTCTAAATTATGCATATTGACTGATAGCTACTGTCACAATTGCCCACTCAGAACTGTGTCTATAATGAATGGTGTGTCTGTGACTTTGAGAACTCTGTTAGTGAGAGAGTAATGGAGAGACCCGTCAGGGGGTATTACTTCTGGAGAGTTGGCATACCACTGTGAATATCGCCTTCACACAAATGCTTTCTCCTTTCCTTCTTTCCTTACTTCCTCACACTACACAAACTTCCTGCATCAGACAAGATGAAGCAGATCACAGGAACAATTCTACAAGATTAACACAACTGAATTTGTATCTTCAAAGCTTCCAAGAAAGAATTTTCCAGGCACCGAAAACAAAACAAAACAAAACAAAACAAAACAAAAAAAACAAAAAACAAAAAGCAAAAAACTCACTGAAGAATTTATCAACTATCCAAACAACTAACACCACTTCAACAAATCTCTTCTAGAAGGAAGAATCATTCTGAATTACTTTAAAGAGGACATTGTTATTCTGTTACCACCAGCCAAAGGTGATACATCTAAGAACAAAAATGACAAAAACAGTGAGCCAATAGTTTTCATGAACTTAGATACAAACTTCTAAATTGACAAAATTTCAGCAAAGAATGGATTAAAAGACTAAGCACTAAAATCAAGCAGAATTTTTCCAAGTATTAAAAGCTGGTTCAATATTTTAAAAATAAACTTGTATAACTCATATTAGAAAGGTTAAAACATACACACACAACAAAAACAACAACAACAACTATTAGGTAGAATGATTGTAAGAGCCAGAGGATCAGGGAGTTTGCCGTAGAGTGTGTCTACTAATGGCATCAGAAGCTACATCTGAATGAATTTTTACCAACATGACTGCCCAAACATGTGCTGAACAAGGATGACACCAATGGACACACCAAACTGGATAGTGGGCAGACCATGAGGCCTTAAACCTACACAAAGAGCTATTGGCAATTGGGAAAGAAGGAGAGGAGGTCTTCCCCAGGGAAGAGGACATCAATTTGATGTCCAATGCCAAATGGCCAGCCCTGAAAACATACATACAAGTAGCATTCTACAGACTGATCAGGTTATTGTTAGGAATACATATGTATATGCCTATACATATATGCATGCAATAACTACTAGTGATAGGCCACGAATTTGAAGGGTAGAGGGAGGGATGTATAGGAGGGTTTGGAGGAATGAAAGGGAGTGTGTAATTTGTAATTATAATCTCAAAAAAAATAAAAAGTTGCAGTTCAAAAAGAAAAAAAGAAAAAGAAAAAACTATATGGCTATGTCAACTGACCTTCCTGCCCCCACAAAAATAACCTGACAGAATCCAACACCGATTCATGATTTAAAAAACAAAAACAAAACCCTCAATTCAACAGTAATAGAGAATATTTCCTGATCCACATTAAGAACCTCCATGATTGGGGGGGTGGGGGTGGGAGGGGGGAGAACAAGGAAATCCGTGGCTGATATGTAAAATTAAATTAAATTATAAAATAAAAAATATCTGTGACCCTCTTACATTATACTTGATGGTCAGAGACTGCCTTCTCTCTAAGACTGGAAACAAAGTAAGAATACATGTTGTGACTATTCTTAGTCTTAGTGCACTGAAGTCCAAGCCATGATAATAAGACAAGGAATAAAAACCAAAAGCGTTCACTCTACAAAGGAAGAAAGAAATTATCTGTATTTGCAGATGATCAGATAAGCTATACAGAAAATAGAAATCTACAAAAGCAAAAATGAAAACAAAAACAAAAACTCTAGAAATTGAGAAGTCAGTGGAGTTGTGAAACATAAAAACAACACCCAAAAGTTAGACACACAACCATTTAAAATTGCTCCAAGGAAGATTAAATTTGTAAGTATAAGCCTACCAAAATAAGTGTTATACATTTACTACAAAAATGTTAACATGTCAATTAAAGAAACGAAAGAAGACCAAAAAAGTTGGAGAGACTGGCTGTGTTCCTAGAGTGGCAGACTTGGCATAGTAAAAAATGCCCATTCTCTCTAAATTGATCTACAGCTTTAGCACCTTCCCTATAGAAATCTAGTGACTATATATATATATATATATATATATATATATATATAATGTATATATATATGTATATATTATATACACACACACACACATATATATATAGACAATGTTATTCTATAATTTATATAGAAAAACAAAATCACTAGAATAGCTAAAGCAGTTTTGAAAAAGGAGACTAAGTCAGGAGGGATCACAATCCTGGAGTTGTAAGCACAGTCATCAAGACTGCACTTCTGGCCGGCCGGTGGTGGCACACGCCTTTAATCCCAGCACTCGGGAGGCAGAGGCAGGCAGATCTCTGTGAGTTTGAGGCCAGCCTGGGCTAC